GCAGATCAGAGAGAAAGGCGAATATAAGGATATACCTTATGATGGCTGAAAAAGGTCAAAACATGCAGTAAGCTAATACATGACGTGCGTCCTATTGTAACAGCCCCCAATGAAAAATGGACACAAATTACTGATGGAATGATAGTTTGCAGGAGTAAACTGAAGTTCTCAGGGGAAATCCTCTCCCAATGCCACTCTGCCCATCACAAATCCCACATACACTCGCCTGGAATTAAACCCAGGTCTCATAGATAAGAAGTTGATGATTGCCTGCTTGACGTGTGGCATGGCTAGGAGTGCCTGATAAATGCAGCAGAACCACCACTTACTACTCCATTTAAGTTATGTCATGTCATGTCATGTTAGTTTCACTGACTGCAAGTCAATACTTTGGGGAGCACTGAATTTGGATATGAAATGGAGGAAATCTTAAAGTGGGGAAATTTAATGCTGAGATTATTGGCTTGGTATCACTGCATGTTAAATGTAGGAAAACATTAATGCAAGAAACACTGAACAGGAGTTGTACTTTATATGCAAGTTCACATGAATAATGGAATCCATGTTGTGCGTCTCTTGTGTCTCCACATGCTCTTCCATGACTGTGCCCCTTGATTTAATACTATTCATTTAATTGGCAGAATTTATATAGACTAAATAACTAGAACTTTTAAAACAAATAACATCCACTCAAGGATGGTGGAGTTATAATTCACCTCCCTCAAATGTTTTCATGGCGTAGTGCTTAATTATTAAGTGCAGGAACAACTTTAACTTTAACATCAAGTACTGCATGAAAATGTGTACAATACACAAGTAATTATACTTACTTTTCTGATGCAACTGACCTTCAATTTTGGATATTTGTACATAGAGTTGAAGCCACCAATACACTAGATCATATCAAGAACAAAGATACTAAGAAAGAATTATGAATACACTCAGGGCAAATTATGACAGATTAACACAGACAGAACTTGACAGACCAAGGAAGACCTCAGAAAATATGGAATCTCTATACAAAGTTGGAACATTGTAGATTTCTTACAAAGGGGAAGGAAAAAAATAAGCTTGAGTGCTCCAGAAACAGGTCTGCCTATGTCAGAGACATACGGGAAAGATACAATGAAACATGTTGAGACACTGGAAAACTATGATCCCATGTTGCATTTAAAGATTTAAAATATACAGAATGAGGTAGTCAGTTTCTACTGTAAGGTCTGATGATGTAATTACTTGTGGCAAGTAGACTGCCTGTACAAAATATAGGATTTGGGTTACCACAGCAGAGTGCATTGCATGTGCTATATTACAATAGAAGAAAGAGATTTTGAGTGTTGCTGGCATATCTGTCACACTGATATTTAGAGATAACTAGCAATGCATATGCCTATGGCCACTGGAAGGCTGTTCCCACAAACTCACTGCAACTCACATAGCAGACATTACATTACTCCTAAGTGTACAGACACATGAAAGGTGAAAACAGTAGCTGTCCCCAAACTAACGAACAGTTCACAGTTTTTCCTATGAAAATATTCATCTGACCTATGCAAAGAACCCCGCATGCTTCTTACTATCACATCAACTGAAAATACACGCAAGATGTTATGATGACTTACCTGTTGGATAGCTCCCGCTCAATTTCTGCGTCCGTCAATATGATTGGTGGTCTTTCCTCAGACACAGGCAATTCTACAGGAATGTAGGAGGCCTCATAGTACTCAGTTTCTCGAGCTCTTGGCAGGTGAGGTATTCCTAACCTTTCCCTGCAAACAATGGCAAATGACACTGAGTGTATGTTCATCAATAAAAACTTATATTCTTCCAGATGGGATGGCATAGTGGCAATATTCTACTTTATGTTGGAAGGTGCTCAGTTTGAATCTCTGCCAGGACTCTGGACAGTCTCAAGTCATATTAAACAATTTCCTAGGTTTATGCTCATGCCATTTGGTTCTAACAGATCAGGTAGTATGCATGCAATTGTGTGTTCATAAAGCAAATTAGTTCTTTCAAAATCCACAAAAGTCTGAGACTGAGAGCAGTGTGAATCAAGACATTTCTTTCTTGATCTGATCAAAAGAATTTGGGACCTGCATGTGTTACATAATCTCGCACTGCAGGGATTATAGAACAATGGCAGTTATTTTCAGTTGCTAAAGAAATTCTAACAACTTCTTTGTCACATGGTCAATAGTCCTTTGCATTGGAGAATGGCAGATCCAAATCTCAGCCTGAGGGACAGATTGTTTTTTCAAACCTGCCAGCAAATATAGTGTCTCAAAGTTTGTTAAAACCTCTTCCTTCCACATCCTTTAAAATTCATTACTCACTAATCATCCTCCCATTCACTGCTACATAATCTGAGCTATGGCAGTATCACTAAATAAAGCACACAATAATAACAAGTACGAATTATTATGAAAACTTCTCTTAATCACTTACCCAAACTGGCCAGGGGTCTCTGGAACTCGAAATTGATCAGGTGCAAAATTATCTGCTATCCACTGGAGATCAACATGCATGTTGCTTGATGACAATGGGCCCAACTGAGTAACTAGAGCCTGGAAGTTAAGCATATATTCATATTTACTGGCATCCATACTAATTCTTTCACAATGCAAAATAACAGCATGCAGCACTTAACCAAAGGATTTCCCCAACACTGTCATCCCAGTTACTGTAGATCTGTGTCCTCTTGTGGAAACATTGTGAAATATATAACAGAAAGACATAGTAGAAATAGGCTAAACAATTTATTTTGTTTAAATTTATATGAAAATATGAATGATTTATGAGGAAAGAGTACTTTCTTCTGGGACATAACACTGTGCAGTCTTGCATATCGTCACCATTTCTGAGAGACCTGCTTCCTCCACAGTCAGGATAGAAGAGCAGGCCATGTGTGCAAACAAACGATATATATATACAGAGAAAATGGCTCCCACTGATCCAAACAGTGTAAAGAATAGTGATCCTCTCTCTCCTTATGCCCGTACCATTTTTTCCACACTTACTGCACTCTTCTAATCTGACAATGGAGACAGCAGGAACACCAAAACACCTGTAACAATCTATGTCACAACATGGCATCACATCCCAGGAAGTTAAAGTGCTCACAGTCACTACTGTCAGAACCTCAAATCACACTTTGTCATTACAGGATTTCCATTCACACACAAATGGACCTGCACGAATAATCTGGAGACAGTTTATCAACTCGCCCTCTCTATGAAGATTGGGTACACTGAATGTGTCCCAGTAAATCCAGTGAAATAAGTATCAATTACCACATGATATGAAACAGTACAATTAGATGAAAGAATTCTCCTATTTGAGCACACCATGAAGATTCACAGATTCAGTTTGGTGACACCACAGTTATCCTGGACATAGTGATAAAGAAAAATATTCAAGTGCACCAGCCAGAAACAAACCCAATCCATGCAGCCAGTAGCCAACTATTTCCTGACCTCTGATGCAAACCAAAGAATGCGTACAAGATACTGTCTGTGCCTTTATTCCTGCCTGCCCTCAGTGGAGCATGCAGTGGATTCTGGCAGGTCCTCTGTGGTAAGGAATGAAGGGTGTGTATGTATTATAACAAGATCTTAGTCACGTGAAACACACTTCCCCCATCCCATAGTGCAACTGCAACCACTGTCCTGCTACTTCAGGCCATACTCCCCTTACTTTTCATTATGCCCAATCCACAGGATGAGTCTGTGGGTGTATATATTATCTCAAAAATATCTTGTAATTTTGGTCAAGCTTCTCTGCGGGACAGCCCTGACCACAGAGCAAGTTATCACATCCTGAGGGCTAAAGCTATGGACTTTACTGCCAACTCAGCACCCTTCTGGTTACTGAAATGTGCAGTATTATAGAGTGTTCCTCATTTAACGTTTAGAGTGGAGCTGCATCTTACGTGGGGGGGTATGGCTGAAGATGGTGCATAAACCAAAATCACACTTAAACTGCCATTAAGTACATGCTTTTGTATAATACAGTATATACAAGCAAAATATCAAGTAACTTTATTTTTGGTTCCATAAAAAAGGAATTATAGGAGACTGAGCCACAGACAGGGCCAAAAAGGAATATATTGAGAAGATATGTAATGAGATTATAGAATTTCAAAGGACAGGACGTTATGATTTGATATACATGAAGACAAAAGAACTAGGATGGAAAGAGAACCATGGGATTCAAAATATTGGCATCGAAGACACCCAGGGGAATAGAATAGTAGATCAGAGGCAAGTGCTGAAAATTTGGGAAAATTATATTACAGAACTATATGATCGACCTAATCAGCCAGAAACCTTGGAAGTGGAAACGGAAGAAGAAGTAGATACAGACAAGAAAGGACCATATATTTTACAAAGTGAGGTGGATAAAGCTATCAAGGACATGAGGACTGGAAAGTCTACAGGAGATGATGATGTACCTGGAGATGTGCTTAAGTTACTGGGAGAAGGTGGTTTGAAAACACTGACAAAACTCATAAACACCATATATGAAACTGGGGAGTGGCCCAAGGACTTTACAGAAGTGACAATGATTGCCTTAAAGAAAAAGACAAAAGCTACAAAATGCAGCGACCATCGCACAATAAGCCTTATTGCACATATAGCAAAGAACATAAAAGAAGAACTGAAAGGAAAATAGAGTATATTCTTGGAGAGGATCAGTTTGGATTTAGAAGAGGAAAAGGAACCAGGGATGCAACTGGGATGATGAGAATTATAGCAGAAGGAACTTTGGAGACAGATGAAGGAACTGTGTGCTTGCTTTACAGATTGGCAGAAGGCATTTGACTGTATAAATTGGACCAAATTAATGCAGATCCTAAAGGAAACAGGTATCGATTGGCGTGAAAGAAGATTGATTAGTAAATTGTACATGGATCAGAAAGTTAGAGTGCTACTGGAAAGAGGGGGGAGACAAGAAGTGTGAAGATTGGAAGAGGAGTTCGACAAGGATGCTGTTTATCACCAATTTTGTTCAACTTGTATAGCGAATGCCTTACCAAAGAAGCTCTGGATGGGCTTGGAGACTTCAAATTAGGAGGGCAAATTATTCAAACTGTGAAATATGCAGATGACCTTGTGTTAATGGCTAAGGAAGAAACTGTGCTACAGGGTATGATTGATAGACTAATCGAAATTGGAAGGTGCTATGGTATGGAAATGAATGTGGAAAAAACAAAAGTAATGAAAATTTCAAAACAACCAACCCCAGTCACAATAAAGATAGACCAAAAACAACTGGAGAATGTGAAACCTTTTAAATATCTGGGTAGCTTGCTAACAGATGATGGAAGGTGTACGTGTGAAATTAAATCTAGGATTGCCATGACAAAAGATGCATTTAGCAAGAACAAGAATCTTTTACCAGCAAATTGGACTTAAATTTGAGAAAGAAACTAGTGAAATGCTACATTTGCAGCATTGCTTTGTATGGGGCTGAAACTTGGACACTTAGGGCAGGAGACCTGTAAAGCTTTGAAATGTGGTGTTGGAGAAGGATGGAGAAAATCACTTGGACCGATTATGTGAGAAATGAAGAAGTGCTATTTAGAGTCAGTGAGCAGAGGAATATCCTATAAGAAATAAGAAAACGGAAGGCTAACTGGATTGGTCATATCTTATGTAGTAACTGCATTCTAAAGGAAGTTATTGAAGGAAAGATAGAGGGGCAGATAGAAGTGACCAGAAGACGAGGAAGAAGAAGTAAGAAGATGCTGGATGATCTTGGGGACAGAAGAGGATATTTTCATTTGAAGGAGAGCTCTAGATCGCATCAGGTGGAGGAACTGTTTAGGAAGAGACTGTGGACCTGTCGTCTTAACAGATTACAGATGAATGAATGGAAAAAACAGAGACACACAGGGACGGAAGACTGAAAGAATAAAAAACGAATACAATAAACCTGAACTGACCATTCATCCTGCAAATTCTGATGACCTGTATAACTCCTGGCTTACAGTCACCGAGTGGCACGGCATACGTAAACGCGCAACCCTGATGGGGGGGAGCAATAGCAACCAGAGTAACTTGCTGCCTCCATCTTCCATGCAGATTCTTCTCAAAAGACAGTGCCTGTGTAGCAAACTATGTTGAGGCACATCCCAGAAGACTTCAATCTTAATTCTGCAATTCCTTTTTGATTATTGGTTTTCATCTTGGTCCAGCAAAGAGAGCAGGAAAACCTTAGTTCTTCAATGACGCAGGGCATTTAATTCCTACTCACCCCTTGGGATTGGGGATACTTAAGCATTTCAAACAGTGAATGCAACATTTCACTTAAAGTGTAATAAACTGGGAAAAACTGGATTTTTGTTTTTCTTATTTTGATATTACATTCAGAAATGTATATAGAATTGGTATGTTGATCCACACTGCTTTAAAATTATTTTTTTGGCACAGTAAGCCTATAAAGAGTAGGAAAATAATATTATATTATCATCTCAGAAATTCAGCTGGTTGTGTTAGTCATAAAAATATACCACACACAGTCCCACATCATGCAGTTTTTGACACACAACATGAAGTTTCTGTTGTCTTGATTTCTTCACAGTTGGTGGAATCTTGCTTTCAAAATTTCTTTCTCTTAGATGGGCACTGTTTTTCTGATGAATGTCGACCCAGCACTTTGTTATTCTACAGCATTATATCCTCCACTGGTCGTGACACAACACAGCTGGCCACTTCACTGCTCGTGACTGGCCCTGGCAGCTAAAACCAGACTGCATGGTGTGTATTTAAAGAACAAAGGGGAATTAAAGTGGTACCATTCATATATTGAATTGTTTATGGATCGCTATATAGCAGTCATAGCACACTTCTTAGAGTCAACATCACGTCTCAATGTCGTAGATTGTCACATCAAAAGATTACTTTACATGAAAAATAACAGTTCAAAATAGGCTGAAACTTAGCACTGAACTATGTGTGCCAGATACGGACTTCTGCGACATGTTACAAAAGCCGCTGGCATGCCATGCACAAACTACAACACTGAAGGGTTAAAACTATTCCCTTCTCATACATTACACTGTACTCTGAACATGGCGGTTTTCAGACTTACCTTGAAGTCAGGTGTAAGCCATGGGAGAGCCTGCTGCAGCTCTGAGGCAGTGCTGGTGCCAGCAGAATTCACTGCCGATGAGTGCCGTGTGGAAGGAGGAGCTGAGTGCACTGGAAGGGCATGATGTTGGTGGTGGCTGTCTCTCACCCATGTTGGTGACATCTGCTGGACCACTGCAGGGTCATGAGAATTCCTCTCCTAAAACGGGATCAATTACAAAATTTTATTGTAGAAAAGTAACTCCTCAAAGAATGAGTAGTGGATTGAGAAACTGGAAGACAGAAATTACATATTTCGACCACAAAGTTTCTGGATTTTGTCCATCAACTTGTATTCTGAGTTTATTTATTTATTTGTAATTACATTTCACAGATCCAGTTGTTTCCCAGTAGGGCTGGATATAAAATCTGTCACATACAAAGTCTGAGCGCAATGTCTCATAAACACTGATCTGTGCCTATCCCTGAGGTGAAGGGGCCCTACTTAGGTGGATCCATTTGAAAGAGCTAATCTTAATCACAGAAAAATCTAAGTCAGTCAACTATATCTATATATATGCAGCTGTGATCATGTTCTGTCATTGGGAGCTCTATAATAAGTAAAGTGGACATACCATAATGGCCTAAAACCCAAACCAAATGCAGGAAAAACAATGCAGAAGACATCTGAAATTTACATGCCATGCTAAACACTCCTACTTCAAATAACAATATAAGAAAATTTTGATTTGATTTTGGTTACAGTGGTCAAATAAGAATCTGGCTATTTGTGTATCTCATGGTACTGCCATTATCACATCTTCCTTGTATAGGTTAGGGGCTTCATTTTTGGCCAAACACTTGGTGAAATATAGAATACTGAAACTCGTTTTTATGGTACTGTAAATCATATTTACATGAAGGTAATTAGTAAATAACCATTCAGAATTGGAAGTGGGAATACGAACCATAACACTTACTACAGAGTGACCTATTACAAAATGAAGAATATGGCTGCCAATTGACAGGACTGAGATAACAATTAAACCTCATGTAATGTGGTAGTGATGATAATGATGAGTGTAAAGTTGTCCTTGTGCTTAATTAGACATCACATCATGAAG